TCACAAAAATTTTTACTAATTTTTAATAAAAATATTTTATATTGCACATATTTATTGTTTAAAATGTAAAAAGTAATATAATAATAATAATAATAATATATTTAATAATAAAGTTAAATTTTATAGATTTTTCGATTTAAAAAACAATTAAAGTATTAAGAAAGCTTTTCATAAATTCAGGCTTTATTACAACAACGTGTTTTATATATATAAAATTATAAATAAAATAAGAAAGACTATACATTTTTTCTTATAAGTGAATTTATAAGATGTTTAAATTTAGTTTTAAAACTGTACTTAACAGAAGTTACATTTAAGAAAACAGAGAAAATCGTGTGTTTAATATGGAAATAATGTGTTCGATTTTTTGTAATTTGCCTATATTGTTCAGATAAGAATTAAAGAAAGTATTCCCGAGAGACCTTACAGATAGCAGTTATACTACGTTTTTAGAGTTGTTTTCCTTCCGCAGCAAAACAATAGAAGTCTTTCATTCAATGTAGACGATTACTTTCAACCGAAATCCAATATTGTTACCTTTAGAAAAAGAATAGTTTTATAAGGAAGTGTTAGAAAGAGCTGAATAGGAGTAAAAAGATACTTTAAAAATTACTAAATGGATTCTCCCATTTGAAAGAAAAAAATCACAAAAAGGTTTATATTATTATTCTCACTTTAAAACAAACTTTAAATTTATCGTTATTCACACAATACGAAGATAAATGATAACATTTATTTGAGATTTACAACAAACAACTATCATGAATTATTTATTGAAAGTATTTAAACCTTATTTTCTCTATTTTTTAAAGATTTACGAATTACAAATAAAAATGTTTATTAATTTTGAAGAAAGTGTGACAAAATTAAAAAAAATTTATCTATGAAACAATTCTCAAAGCATTAATAGTATATAATTTTATTATCTTTTGAAATTTAAAATTTAAAAATATACATAAGAATACGTTAGATTTTGGAATTTAAAAGTATTAGTTAAACACATGCTTCTTATTTCATAATTTAAAAAGTATTGTATTGTTTTTCTATGTGTTTTCTGTGTTAAAATATAAAAATTGAAATATACTCTGATTAAGAGAAGTAACAACTTATATGAGAATTGATATAGAAAGTAACAGTATCAACAATTGAACTGAAACAGAATAATAATAATATAATGCACAGAATCTGAAGAAGTCCACAAAATAATAATCACTACAGAGTTCTAGATATTGGACTTTTATGGACGTCTGTGAATAATGTGTAATAGCAAAAAAAAAAATAAAAAAATATTCATATTGTTAACTATAATAGTATATTATAGACATTTTAATAAAATATAATTTAAAATGCTTTAAAATATTTGTTAACCTACGTAAAATAAAAAAGAACATTACATAAAAATAAAACAAATTTTTAGAGCTTAAAATAAGCTAGAGTTAAAACAACGTTTTTTAATAATTAAATAAATAAAAAGTAATAATTTTTACATAAATGCTTTAGGACACACTTTACTTCCAAAACTTAAAAAAATAATAGGATTTAAAAGATTATATTCGAAAATACGGGGATTATACAAAACAAAGAATAACAATCATTTTTTTTATTTTAATATAACATTAAATTGCTCTTCTAAACATAAATAAAAATTAATTAAGGTAAAGCATTTTATAGACATACTAATATAATAATAATTCTAATGATAAATTTTTATAAAATCAATACTTTGTTAATTTTAGAAGATTAAAAATATAGAAAGGTTACTTCAACAAAAAAACTATTTTTTTATTTTAGGCAATTGATTATATTTGATTATTTAATACTTTAAATACAGTAGAATTTAATGCAAAAATAAATATTAAATAAAAGAAAAGCATTAATTAAAATATTTAAAATTTTAGAAATAGCAAACAATTTTTGAATGATTCATGAGTAAAAAAACAAACGAGCATGGTTAAAAACAATTTTAAAATGTTCTTCCTTAATCTACTTTACGGATTACTTGATT